ATATATATATCAATATATTGTGAATAATAAGGTTCTTTTAAAAGTCAAAGGATGCCGTCAGTTATGAGGGTTTGAGTTCAAACACAATTTTAAAATAATTCATTTATTTATGTCCTTCAAAATTATACTGGCGTATCAGCCGGCATCACAAATCACGAAAATAATCATAAGAAAAACAATCCATCAAAGCCAAACAAAAAGAATTTAAACAAAATCATAATACCTTCGGTCTTTTAATATCAATTATGATCACGGAAATGTCCAAGAAAGCTAACAACGCCGAAACCCTACGAACCGCATGCACCTAAGCAACGCCTGAAATTTCCGAAAAAAAAAAAAAAAAATCCGTCACCAGAACCAAGGCCGGTTCGTTTGCTAACAACGCAGGAATTTCTAACAAAGCTGGAACTGCTGGCAACGCTGAAATTCCTTCGACAATATTACTAAATCTTCAAGTGAACTATCTTCGTAATGGTTAATGGTTAAACGCGAAATAAATGTCCTAGACATCTAAGGTCATATAGCACTATAGGAAGGTATAGTAAAGGGGGATATCAGGTGATAGTTGCTATGCGTCAACTATCAAGAGTAATGTTGGAAAGTTGAAGATGGGTAAGGGGGTTGATGAGGGAAAGGGTTATGGTGGTTTAGGTAAGGGAATTAGATCAAGTGAAGGATATTTATGCGTCTGAGGAAGGAGAACAGGTTGTTATCAGAAGCAAGGGTATGACATAGGTCTGGTCTGTGAGAACGGAAACCGCAAATATTCCAATGCAGGAGAGCCATATCTGTGAAAGCGCCGGTACGCGTTGGGGAATCTGGGGGGGGGGGGGGGAGCTAAAGGGTTTTGTGATATGAGTGATTCCCGTGTGTATCCGGGAGGGAGTGGAAAGGATAGTGGGGTTGGAGGGTGGGAGAATGTGCGTATAGTTGGAGTTGAAGGGCGTGGGTTGTGTTGGGAGAGAGTAGGAAGAAGGGGTGTAGGCGGAATATGAGTTGGAGAGGTATGGATATGAGCAATCACTTCAAGTGTGGAGGGAGCATGAGTTAAGGAATTGTGTGTCTCAAGCATATAGCTTTGAATGTTTTGTGGGACAAAGGTTTTCTTATGAGGGGGGAAGAGGAGACTGGTGTCTGAGGAGTAAAGGTAAAGGTAGGTGGAGGGGAGTGTGCAGTAGGGGCACTACCCGCAGTCTGTCTACTGCGGGTAGTGCGGGGAGGGAGAGGGGATGGTGTTAGGGCTGTAGTTGAGACTGGAACAGTGGTTGAGATTGGGGTGTCTGGATTTTGAGTGGCAAAAGAATTTGACTGGGGGAGGTTGAGTGTAGAAATGGACGTCGTGGAAGTGGCGAAGTATGGATAGGGGAGGGTGTAGGAACATCTTGAGGTGGAGGGGGAAGGGTAGAGCGAGTGATATTATTGGAGTAGGGAGTATAAGAGAAACCTTGTCGGCGTGCTTCCTGTCTGGCTTCACGTAGAATGAGACCATTTTTGTATCTGAGAACTGCTACCTCAGACTCGAACGGGTAAATGGGACAGCCTTTATAAAATACATTATGAGGGCCGCCGCAGTTAGCACATGTACATGTTTGTGTGGGGCAGTTTGATCTGTTATGACCGTCTGTGGAGCGGCAGTGTTTGGCAGGATGTCCAAATCGCCAACAATTTTGACTGATGGGGAGGAGGTTGGTATGGTTGAACAGGGAGGGATTGTCAACCAATGTAGATACGAATGGGAAGGTCATGTGTACTGAAAGTAATTTTGGCAATGTTGGTGGATTTCTTTCGATGACCTCTAGAAGGAAAGGAGTAGCAATGTACTGATATCACATACTGGTCTTTGAGGCAGCCGAGCAAGTCTTCTCCCCAATCTGACCAATCTTTGGTATCGACTGGGCAGTTTGCTGGGGAGATAGAGACAGTTCCGGTACAAGTATTAAGAGTTGGATGAGGTTCTACAGGGATGGGATTGCCAGAGAGATCAGTTAGTTTTGATAATGCTATAGCTTTAGCTTCAGATCTGACTGTTACGAGAAGGGAGCGATCGCGTCGGGTACGGAAAGGGACTCTGCCTACATGTTTTTGGAGACATTGTTGAAAGAGAAGAGTGTTGCCTGAGTAAGGAGCTGTAGAAGGGATCACGAAAAATCAGCCCCAATTGGCTGGGCTAAATAGAGTAGTTAAGATATTTGTAGGGTTGGTGGTGGTAGAAGGCCGGGGGCGTGTGGAAGTGGGAGTGTTGTTGAGGGGGGTAGTATTACGGCTGTAAGGGTAATAAGGGAGGATGGGGTGTTTGATGAAGAAGGTTGTAGGGGTAGAGCTGATGAATTTGAGGAAGTTGGGTGGGTAGGAATGTCTTCAGGAGATTGAGTCTCTGCTTGGGTGGGTAATGCACTAGTAGGCATTGAGGAGTGGGTAGTAGTTTCAGTGTTTGGAGTTGTGGTCAAAGGAGAGCCTGGGGTCGGGGAGCCGGTGGGGGTATTTGATGAAGGGGCAAGTCGCATTGCCTTTAATAGGGGTATTACATCATTACTGGCCATGGGAATCCTTAATTATGTAAAAGGAAATAAACTGTCCACCCCCCAGTGCCCTGTAGGGGGTAAGGGCTAGACAATTAAATCGGGAGTGCCGTGCCCATGATTCCCGCAAGCCGTTCAGGACCTTGTCAGCCTTTCATCCTCTCAGCATGGCTCTCACACCTTAGGAAGTAGATAGTAGAAGGGGTTGGAGAAGGGATGGAAACAAAAGCTGGAGGGGGAAAAGACCATCTAAAATTGGTTGTCGAGGGCTGCGGCCCTAGACAGGGGAGATCCCTGCAATAATAATATTATTGATATTATTTTTTAAATTATTGTTATTTTTATTATTGTCGTTGCAAAAATTATCATTATTGTTGCTAAAATTATCATTATTGTTATTA